ATCTCTCTCTCTCTCTATATATATACATATATATATATATATATATATATATATATCAACATGCACTAAAATACATTATCTTTTATATTTGAATAGTTCAACGATAGGAATCAAACTTGGGACGTAGTGTTGCAATTGTCAACAACTAACTAATCAAGCCCAAGCCCAATTCCCGACACACATGTTTATCAAATGACATTCGGTCCAATCACCTCAATAAAATAATATCTAGAAAATACATGCATAGATGTTAATATCCATTTAGTTAATTATGCACAAAATTTTCTACTCCCAGCAATCCAAAGAAAGAATAAAAAAAATTGAAAGCATACCTCAAAGGAAATTCTTCTAGCAATTTGAGATGCACATGTCTTCACTTTTGTAGACAGAGCGACTTCAATGGCATTCAATACTAATTTTGAGGCTTGCAAAATGGTTATTTCACCCTCATTATTTGGAAGCAACTGGTCCCTACACAAGGGTTCAGGTGCAACCCCGAGCCATGACATCCTTTCTGCCCAATAGAACTGGTCCAGCATGAATGGGCATGTTATCTGCATTTTCACAATAAAAAATCATATTAAAAAATAAATAAAATAGTTTTCAAGATTAACACCATAAGAGTCATTAAAAGAATCTCATTTATAAAACTACATGCAGTTGTTTACATTTGTTGATGTTCATGAATGCACATGGGAATTAGAACAAACGAAGGCTTACTACAATCCAGGCAATTTTCTAGAAAAGTTGTGGTCATAAGTGTTATTACTGTCCAATTCAGTGTTCGATTGCGCGAACTGGTCGTAGAACCCGGCCAGGGCCACGTCCAGGTAACCAGCCTAAGTCGGGCAGGTACCGGCTAGGCAAAAAAAATTGTTAAAATTTTTTAAACATAAATCCAAAAAAATAGGAAATATATGTTTAGAGTAAGATTAAAACGAGGTTAAAAAATGTAGTAAAACAATAGATTTTGAAAAATCAATTTGTGATCAGGGATATTTTTGAAAAAATCCAAATAAGATGAGAAAATTTAAAAATACTTTATTCATGGCAAAAATATTTTCCAATCTTTGCCAAAATGATAGAACACATAAAAAACATGTTACAAATATAACTCTTATTTTTTTGGATTTTTATGATTGTTTTGATTTTTTTTGAAGATCCTTGGGTTGGACACCTAACTCAAGGATATTCAGGCTCACCAAGGTGGCGAGGCCAAGTTGCTCGGACTTGCCCTATTAGTCAAACACTGGTCCAATTAACTGATGGGCGGTGATGGAGAAAGTAAAAGCTACGAGAACATAGGTGACCCAAGTAGTAGTTCCGAGTGCAAAGGCTCCCTATATTGGGTCTGTTGGGTTTATGTGGACTTTAAAAGCCTTATGAGTGCTTATAAAATGAAATGATATATTGGAACATGAACTCAATGAGAGTGTGGTCCCTCGTGGACCATACTAAGCAAACGATGGTTTGCTTATACCGATTTGTGCTTAACGATCTAGGCCAGTCGGTTCGAAAAAACCCATGTTACTTGGGCATGAAGAACAAATCAATGAGGGTTTATGGGTTAGCCCTTGATGAGGTCGGAGAACATGCCTGGATGAATGAGCCGAAGGACTGTGTGCCCCTTGTGTGTGATGTTGGCCAACAGAGACAGGGGCCAAAACCTCACCTATGTACCATCACACGGCATGCATATCAATAGATCGTTCGGGAAAGCCAGAAATCCACCTTTTAGGGTGAAGCGTATGCATGTGCGAGAAATACCCCTATGCACCATAGAGTTGTGGTCGCATAAGGTCTTGATGACCTTGACTTGTCTCTAGGGCACCTATAATCCACATACTGAGATTGCAACACCTTGGCTCATCTGTCAGACTTTGATGACCCACTAATGAACCCTTGCTTGTGAACTGTAGGTCATGGAAACACTGGGTTGGTTCGATAAGGCAAGTGTGATCTGTAGTCCACAGTTGAAGGTGGAGTGTCCCATGATTGCAGATTAAATTCCTTAACCATATGGATCCATTTCCCATCAAGTTAATTTAATTATGTTTGTTTTATAATAGAAATTATTTTAGAATTATTATTTAAATTTTTATGAGTCATTTGATATTTTATTTATAATTTTTTTTGGACTTATAAAAATGAAGATATTGATTTTACAAAATTATAAAATTCAAATAATGTTTTAGAATTTTTTTTGATAATTTAAAATTATATAAAATATCATGGAGGGGCCCACTTTGCACATGGGCCCACCATGTGTCAAGTGGGTGGGGCCCACATGTGCCACACATGGGTGGCACACCTCACCTATTGGATTCTTTCTTGGAGTTTAAGTTATTTTATGTTTTGGTAATATTATGTTATGGCATGTGGTCAAATAAGATATGGAATATTTTGACCATATATTGACCAAACATTGAAAACGTATATTGACTTGATATATCTTTGAAATATTTTGTGAAAGATTATGAAATGTATAATATTTTAATTAGATTTAATTTATCAGTTCAATTGATGGGAAAATGGTCAAAGAAAGGGGGATAATGGTCCATCTATGGAATGGATACCTCAGATCTCTCGCCCCACAAGTCACCCTGATCGACGGTCTATGTTCAATCTTACAAGAAGAGACAAGCCAAGGAAAACCCTAAGAACTCCTAATCTTGTTCAAGCCTATAAAGAAGGGATTATCTCTACACAAAAATCTCTACACCTTATCTTTCTATTTCTCTCTCTTAAGAAAGTTTCTCTCTCTCATGTTTGATCTCTCTCTTTCACGTTGTGAAAGAACCTAAGGGTTTAGGTTATGAAGCTCTTATCTCTTCTATCTCTCAAATATGGATTTATGGCTAAGGGTTTTAAAGTTTACCAAAAAGAGAATTCATTTCTCTCAAACTAGGTTGTTAAGAGAATTCACCTAGGGTTTGAGTTTGTGATCAAAGGGGTTCATGTTCCATTGGTGTGGCTTGACCAAAATTTGTTTTTCCAGTTCGAGATTGAAGCTAGACCGTTGATCCCGTGCCATCGAATGGTGGTGACTCGGTGTGGGGTGTAATAAGTCCGGTTGAGGTAATCTCTGGCACTCTTCTTTTTGTTTCTTGCAATTTTATCTTTTATTCTCAAGCATAATGCATAGTTGTTTCAATGGCATCAAGTTGTTACGATCTTAGTTTTATTGTTATGTTGATTTTATTTTGAAATTTATCTTATTATAATAAAGGCCACATGTAAGTGATCTTTTGCCAAAAGAAAGGTGTGAAAAAAAAAAAGAAATGTATTCCCCAGTAAAATATCACATAAGTCTTTTTTTCAGGATTATGCCATGCTTTCTTGGTTTCCACCCTCTCTTCATCATCATCCATCAATGGATCGGTTGCTGATGGCACTTATGGCCTTAGTTTTTATATGATCATACAAATCATAACATACTTCCTCTTAGCCTAAAATCAAAGTTTAATCATCCTTTTTATATATCCTACAATTTGTTTGGAAATCACTAGTTTAACTTCAAACTTACAAGAAGTTATAAATCCATGCAAGACCTTGTCTAACAAAAGATCAAAGAAAACTAAGTTTACAAAATTTAACCTACGAAACATCAGTTATTTCTTATTTCCTTTTCATGGTCAATCTCTCCAAAGTATTTTCCGAGAATTTAATTTGTAGCATAGAGAAAAAAAAAAGAATTTCTCATGTAGAAAAAAAACAAAACTTACAAAATCTCCCACAAATTTACCTACCAAAGATATGCTCTAGAATGAAAGCAAAGTGCAATTTCTTACCTGTGGGATCCCTGCACGAAGGGCTGCAGCAGTTGATCCACTGAATGCCACAGAAACCAACTTAACGCATTAGTTTCACAGTTGCAAAGTTGAAACACTTAAGTTCCCCCTTTTCCTTTCTAGCTTTTAAAGAAAAAAGTTACCCAAAGAAAACTCAGTTTTCAGACTACAATCTGAGGAGACTCAGATTGTAACACGTGATAAACATCAGAGATGTACCTGCCACCATGATGTATTGACACCGAACATCTTGAGAATAGCCAGCTGTAGGGAATGGTGCTAAATTTTCATATACCAAAAAAAAAAAAAAAAAAAAAAAAAAAAAAAACAATACACACAAAAACACAAAAGATCAAAGGTCGTCATGTGTTGAGATATGTATGTTGAATTGGAAATTAAAACTCGAGTATTGAGAAACTACAATTATCCCAATGGTTTTGGCGAGACATGCATGACTGCAGCAGGGTTGAAAGATGGACACAAGACCCACTAGTTTCAAGATCTCTCTCTCTCTCTCTCTCTCATTGCTTTCGAGAAAAAGATAAGAGCGATTAGTAGGGTTTTTGGGAGGATAGCAGCAAAAGTAAATGCATTTATGCAGTGCATTTTTTTTCTGAAGCAGTGGCTTCTACAAACTTCCCACCAAAACTTGTGACGACATCAGACAACCACTAACCCAGAAAAGCAGAAGAGCCTGTCATAAAAAAGGAGAACTCCATCTTCACTAAGTCTGTCACATCCGTTGTTATCAGAACCCAACATATTCATAATGGCATCATTTAAGGGCTCATAATCAGCTGAAAGAAGGATAGCTCTGTAATCTGATGCCTCCAAAACAGCTTTCAGTAACTCAAGAAATGCCTGAGGATTCTTCATAAAACCCATTCTGTGATCAAGTGAAATATGCTTTCAGTCGAGGTGAAATCAAACGCAGAATATAGCAAACTATAATCTCAGCATCCCAGAAAAAATTTTAGCTTCAGACTTGTCATACTACTCATAAAGCAGCAAATAATACTGAACTCAGAATGGAAAAATTCTCTCTCTCTCTCTCTCTCTCTCTCACACACACACACACACACACGCACGCACTCACGCACGCACGCACGCACGCACACACACACACAAAAACACACACACACACACATACAAACACAAGCCAACAAAGTCAAACCCCACCTTTGATTTTTATGAGTAGCGTAATTCAGAAATAAATATGAAAACTCCTTCCACTGAAACCAATTTTGCAGCAATGAATCTTGGTTTAAATGTCAAAACAATGGCATCTAACTCAAGAGGCAATTGCAAATGTAGAAGACAAAACTTTAATTCAAAGTAGGGCATGATGCGAAACGTCATGCATGGTTGAACAAAAGATAGGGGGAAAAAAAAAAGGGTAAATCAGTGGGGATTTGGGCCCCTAGACTTCATCATAGGGCTCGTTGGTACTACCGCCAAGGCCCCAGCCCATTATCATATGGACAAGATAGGAACAACAAAATTTAACTCATATGGACAAGAGAAGCTATGTGCTGAAACAAAAAACTCATGATGAAAAATGCCACTAAGACAGGATGGCAGCATTTACCTTCCTATAGAGTTCAACCCTATGAATATGGGAGCGGAGAAGTTGTTGGGGGTTCCCTTAAGAAAATTGCATAGAGCAGTAGGAACCATCCAAGACCCAACCTTTATGCACAAATTCTCCAAAGAGGTAAATGAGAAATCTCCGCACTTCTTGTAAGGGAGCTCCCACTCCATAGGAGGAAACCAAAATCCACAAATACGAGTACTTTGAGGCCAATAATCTGCCCCACAATTGAAATCATTTAATTAAATATAAGATACCAAAGAAGTCTACATTATGCTAAAATTATAGAGTCACATACAAATCTAAATAAGTCACCATAAATATGAGTCACTAAATGGGTCACCACAAATATGGGTTCTTTTATTCTTCATTGATAGTATTATATTAACCAAATTGTGAAAAATACATACAGAAGGACCCAATGGAACCATGTGAAGATTTACAACAAAATAATGTTTACAAACCTACATTTACTAACATTATTTGCCTATAGGTAGAAATGACTCGCTTCATCTCTCTTTCTTTTTTTTACTGGAAAATGATAGCTCCACTATCCCTAGCCAAGCCAATTACAAAAGGAAAGATTAAATCCATGCTTTGACAATTTTATTAGTCCTCCTAAATGTCAAAATTGAATTATGATACCTGGACACTCCACAACTTCCTTGCTGAATCCATACCTGTCAGACAACAATAAAATTGGAAAATACAAAATTGAGATCTCGTTACAAAATATCTACAGTTGGATAGGAAGCATATTGAAGCAACAGTGTAGCATAGTCCAGCCAACTCGTCTAAGTCATTTGATGCACATAGAGGTGAACAGTCATCCAATGCAAAAACCCAAAATATACTATTTCCATGAATGAATTACCAAAGAAAGATACAATTTAAAGAGTCGACAATAAAATCTTACAATACTAGAGGTGATGCAGGCCAATCATGCAACAAAGGAAGACCTGTCACAGGGTCCTGACAAAAGTCAAATGAAACTTGCGAATTACATGATCAATAGCTTCAATGGATCCAAAAAAAAATGAATAATTTAATAGAAACTTCTAAGTGCAACTTCCAGAGGTAAATAGGATAGTAAGTGATAAATTTACAGCAAAGATACGTAGCATGCTTAAGATTTACACCATAATTGCACACACCATTAGAGGACAGGAGCTTAGTTTCAAAAAGTTACTTCTCCAAGATCCCCAATCTTCCATGAAAAGAGGCCACATCCAGTGGAGCACATCATTCCAGCAAACCTGACAGTATAGAAAAGGGAAACACTTCAAGTCACATTTCCAAAGAAATTCTCCTCTAGCCCAATTTTTCTAAGCTCAAAAGACCACCAGAATAAAATAAGCCATAAGAACAGGGAAGCTATCAGTAATTGCAATTCCATTAATTCAAAACTTGAGTAATGATACTGGTGAAGAATCAGCAAAATCCATGTGTGTTACAACTGAAACAGAAAAGAAGATGTAGTTTTTCATTAAAAAAAATAAAGAGTGTGGTAAATAGAAGTGATTTAACAAAAAAGGTTGAAGAGTGCTGCAAATAGAGCATCTACCACATTCTTACCATTGTATGATTCTAAGGAAAGAATATGACATGGGTTTCCCTAACAAAAAATATTAAATGACAGATTTCTTGAATTAAAATAGTTTCTCATAAAGCTTACCTTCCCAGGATGTGCTTCTTGTAGACATCTGTACAAGACTGGAAATGTACTTTTGAATCGACACTCAAATGATGATGGCATGCTATAGAAAGCAAAATATAAAATTAAACATTAATATGAAGCAATCGATATAGCTATTTCACCACAACAATCCTATCCATCAGAAAAGACAGAAAAGGGCATACAAATACAAAAGTGGCTCACCTAGAAAAAGCTTAAGCACTGTGGATAGAGCGTCCATGCAGTAAGGTAGGAAAGAGTTTTATTAACAGAAAAGATGGTTATATAGGGGTAAATATTTAAGGAACAGGCATACATGGAGGGGGTGAAAATACAAATTGTGAAAAGATGCATATGTCCAAAGTGTGATGTATTTACTAAAATTTTCCTCACATTTACACAACATTAACATCAGAAATGTATTTTTTGCCCAGTTATCCATGAACTTCACTTCTTCGGAATTTTGTTAAAAAAGCAAACCCCACAATTTTGAATTTGCTTAACTCGTGAAAGCCACAGTAAGTGCTGTTGCTGAAACAGATGGTGTCATTGTTGAACAAGTCCACAGCAAGGAATGTTATGCAAAGCCCAGACCAATAAAGTGGAGTTTTTACTACTTGCAACAGCCCCTTATACATAGACAGAGCTAGTTTCCCCCTTGCTGCAAGAAAAAAGGCCTCTACAAGAGCAAGTGCAAGCCCAGCCATCTACAGAGCAGCAACCACAAAAGATAGGAAAATTCCACAAAAAGGAGTTTCATGTGACAATATAAGGGAGCAAAGCACTATATATTGACCTAGGTAAGGTGGTATAGAAGGCAACAAGTGATGAATGAATTAAGAACATAAATATTATGGCAAGACAAGAGGAGGAACTTTCATCACCACACACTTGCAACATGACCCAAATTGGACTTCATACATACATAAGTTTTTATATGAATTCGATTTTCTTTGTGTTTTTAGAGTGCCTATATGAGACCTACATGTGCACAAAATTTGGTGTCCATCAGACACCTATTTTCCTTGAAATCCATGTCATTAGCGTGGCAACCTGGGAGGTTCGTCTCTTTATCCTTCAATCTTAGCCATCCAGCCTATACTGTAAGCTATAGGTTAGTCGACCCATAAGAATCATCTCTCTCTCTCTCTCTCTCTCTCTCTCTCTCTCTTCTACACACATATAGAGAGACGACTGTCCAATTCCGTGATGAGACTGCCACATCAGCGGATAAATAAAGCTGAGAAGGAAATCTTTGAGTACCTATAAGGAACAACATATGGTGCAACAACCACGCATCGAACCCGAAACAGTTCTGCTAGATGCCAACCCTCCTTCACTCCATGCATACACAAAAAAAGGAATTAGGTGAGATATTATCAGATACAATAACCTGAATCATAAGGAACTATGCATATTAAACCAAATCACATAAAAAAGACCATGAGACTTGGCATCAAAGAGTTTTGTAGTAAAATACACAAACTGGTAGTATAATGAGACAACCAACGCAAAGAAATTTATCGCAACAAAATCTCCCTCAATGCTGGAGTCTTCTCCAAATATATTTTCAAAGGCAGACAAGCATTCTTCTCTATGGTGTTGCTTGATAGCCTCTTTACACCTAGAGAAAGAAAAATCCTCCAAACCTGGTGACATGAATAAGAAATGAGGAACTCAAACTCATCTAGAGCTAGTTTAGCATGATAACAAGTATAATACTGGAAAAATTCAGACTGTGCGCTCAAATATTGAACCCACACATGCAAGTAAGGTCCTGATGCGGCATCTAGAGCTACATAAACTATAAATACAGAAGAAAAAAGTAGGTCCCTTAAAAATGAATTCAAAACCAAAATAATCAACAAAACCTCAAACCAGGAAATCTACACATATATTTGAATTCATCAAAATGTGCAATGACATAAATTCACGATAGGGAGCAAAACACAAATCTTAAAATCCATCTAGCGAGCCATACCAGAAGTTCTATGAGCATCTTCCATAGATAGGACAGGTGGTGTTGATATTGGAACTATGGAGGCCCCTTTTGCTACCAAATGAGCTTCTAAATACTGCAAAATTGTTCAAAGAAACATAGAACTCAAAACAGTTCAGTGTAAGGGATCGATCATACCCTACTCAATAATAACCAATGTTTTAAAACCAGATTGGGTCGCCGGATCAGATCGTCGATCCGGGGAGAATCGGATGACTTCTCATGTGTGGGAATTGGTCCAAATAAAAAATAATAAAATAATATGTCAAATGGGAAATATAGAAATATAAAAAATGAAATGCATGGGAATGGGGCCATTTTGTCTGATAAAGTGCTCGGTCCCCTAAGTGACTCGCCCAGTTGTATGACAACCAAGAAAGTCACTCTAAACCGAACCAATTCTTGATACTGGATAGGAATTGGCCCTGTCAACTGCCGATTCAGATCTGGATCAGTGACTTCCGATCCAGATAGGCACTTTTTAAGCCACTAATAATAATGAATACTTAAACAATCAACAAAGAACAATATTTACAATGGCCAATAGTGTCAGCTGAATTATATCCAATGAAATAAATACTACAAGTGTAACAACCTTGTGAGCTAAATGAGTGATTAAAACCACATTATAATGTTGTTGGTCGCTCGCAAGAGCTGTCGCAATGGCCTGCAAACCAAAAATCAACTTTTTTAGCTACCTGTTACTGGGATGAATAACCAAACCAATTGATTTTTTTTAACACAATTAAAATTAATAGTTCAAGCCTATTTTTTAAATCAATCATCCACCACCATTTCGACTCCTACTACTATTTAATATTAATGGAAATTCTAATATTAAAACCCAAAACCACCCACTACTTATAAAAATAAATAAATAAATAAAAATAAATAAATAAATAAATAAAAAATAAAAAGGAAAGAAAGGAAAAAAGAAATTACATTGACAAATGGAGACAATACAAATGCTTATACAGAAAGACTTAAAAGAGAATGTATAAATAAATATTGTCCACCAATCATATTAGACTTGATCAATTGATTATTTCCCAGCTGAATAATAAAGGTAAATTTATCAAAACACACCTAAGAGATTAACTACGTAAAATTTCACCCATTTCTTTTTATTGCATTTCAAAATTCCCATAAAAAATGAGTTGGAACAGTTGAAAATAAGTAGCATGCTTAAATAGTTGATCTTTTAGGTGTATTTTGGTAATTTTTCCATGAATAAAATATGTCATCTTTAATTAGAATACCCAAATTTGTTTTATGACCAGGGTTCCTTTTTTGCGCGAAATAATGGGCCGTCAATAAACAACATACCCAGGATAAGTGAAGCTAACACAGGATAATGAGATAGAAGAGGACATGGTTAGAAGTAATGAGAAAAAATATAGCAGCCTCACTGAGATATGACCCTTGACAAAGCAGAATAGCGGACCACTTTCAACCCCAAATTGTTGGAAAAAGGCACTGATCACGTATGATGATGATCCAAATTCGTGTTTTAATGGTTATGTTCTCAATTGGGGTTGAATTCTGGAAAATCAAATTTATTTTCACAAGATGCAGACCTTATTTATGAAATAACTAATAATTTTACATGAAGTTCAAATACGAAAAGAAAAAATATCTAAATAAAACAAAACCAGTAAGAATGTATAATGGAAATTAGAGAGATAGAGTATAATGGAAATTAGAGAGATAGAGAGAGAGAGAGAGAGATTTACAGCAATAGGAAGGACATCGCCCTTGGTTCCAAAGGCCATGAAGATGGCGTTGGGTCTTCTGCGACGCCTGTTTCCCTCCATTTTTCACACTTTCGCATAAACGTAGTCTGGCATAGATATAGAGCGAGAGTAATTTAAGTGTTCCTAAAGTAACCCTGAGTTCATCTGTAATTCTCTATTATCAGCTTCAAAGTCCTCCAAGATGCCATTGCTGGCTGTGCTCATTGAAATACTAAGCATATTAACTGCAGATGATTATCTAGCCGCTTCTTATCTTGCATGGACGGTCAAGATGAACAGTGTTTACTGTAAGTGGCACTGTTTCCTCATTTATTAATTGCATTTCGTGAACAAATGTCATGGACACCCAAGCCGTGAGATGTAAAAATGGATGGGTGGAGCGTGCCATAATTTAGATAAAGTTTTTAAAAGATTCCCCAAATTTCAATGCCAGCAATGCTACGCCGCTAGCCACCAGATTTTACATCCAATGTTTATAGTGATCGTGACCTTTTTTATCAAAAAATAGACAGCATATGTTCTAATTGAAAAAATTACATATGTATCCGTTATATTTTGTGTTATTACGGATGTATCAAATAGTTTTCGATATTACATGTCTGTTAGTTTTTTGCATTTTATAACGTAATTTTTTTAAAAATATGAATTTACTTTTTTTCGAGTGTTGAACAATCGAATTGAAGGGTTTTTCAAACGTTCAACTTTCGAAAATAGCCCGAAAGTTTAACGTTCACATTTTTATTTTCGGATGTTGAATATCAGAAAATGAGATATTTTCGAAAACCATTTTCAGATGTTGAACATCCAAAAATGTCAGATGTTCAACATCCAAAAATATGACTGCCAAATTCCATTAGGTTTTGGGTTATCTTCGAACAACCGAAAATGAGAATGTGAAAGTTAAACTTTCAGGTTTTTTTCGGATGTTGAACATCCGAAAAACCCTTCAATTCGGTTATTCAATATCCGAAAAAAGGTAAAGTCATCATTTTAAAAAAAAATTGCATTATGAAAGGTAGAGAACGGACAGACATGTAACAACAAAAACTATTCAGTACATCCATAATAACATAAAATACAACGTTTTTATATGTAATTTTCCCAAATTTCTATAAGACTTCGGTTTTATGAAAATAAAATAAAACCTCTCCTCGAATCTTCATTTTTGCCAACAAAAATCTCCCTCTAAAATCAATTCAACATTGATAGTAAAATTTGAAACTAAAAAAATAGAACATAAAATCTCCCTCTAAAATCAATTCAACATTGATAGTAAAATTTGAAACTAAAAAAATAGAACATATCTTATGGGGGTTGTTAGGGTGAGATGGAAGGTCTAATTAATTTATTATAATATATATTACTTTTAGAGTATAATTTTATTTATTTATTTATATATTGTAACCGAGATGACCGATATAAAAGTTTTTCATGCTTGAATGGAAATTTGAAATTTTCAATTAGTTATGAGGTGAGGCTTTACTTATTTGATAAAGGTGCAGCCCTTTTACCAAAAACGCCGTTTCGCTCTCAGTGAAAAGGAAACCCTTGGATTTCAAGCCAGTATGAGTGGGCTTAAACGGGGAACATATTCTCTCACCCATTTTTCTCCCTTTATCAAGAAAAGGAGAGGGATGAGGTTTTGATTCAGTAGAGAGAGAGACGGTTTTGATTTAGAGAGAAAGAGTAAGTTTTGATTTAGCAGAGGGAGGAAGAGGAAGTTTTGATTTATTAAACAAGTGAACAAATTCAAGGGTATATATAGAATTCACATGAATATATAGAGAGGGAAGTTTTTTAAGTAACGAATATAGAGACAGAAGTTAACACCATTTGGAGAGAGAACAAATGTATAGGTAGGCAATTGCATACTACCTTGTTCATACTGGTCGGAAACCATGTTTCTTCCAAGGGTAAACTGTTATCTTACTCTCTCTGTTAATGATTCCTTCCCTGTATCATATTGGCATTTCGACTTGTGTTTCTTACTCTTATTCTATGTTTCAGCCTTTCAGATCAGCTGTATTTGGAATAAATGGCTACTTGTCCTTCACCAAAGCCGGTTTTGAGTGAGTTCTTCACTACCCATCATTTTTCTCCCTCTAATTTCCTCCATTTTATTTCTAGTTCTTTGGTGAAGCCGGTTTTGAGTGAGTTCTTCACTACCCATCATTTTTCTCACTCTAATTTCCTGCACTTTATGTCTGGTTCTTTGCGTAAAATTTCCTCCATTTTATTTATGGTTCTTTGATGAAGCCGGTTTTGAGTGAGTTCTTCACTGCCCATCATTTTTCTCACTCTAATTTCCTTCATTTTATGTCTGGTTCTTTGCATAATTGCCCGAACCAAGGATTTTGCTCTTCCTGTATCTGTAACCGAGATTTGCTTACAATTTGGCAAGTTCTGTGCAGTTGGGAACTTCTTTATTTGCTAGAAACTTAGAAATCAGACAAGAAAATTGTAATTCATACACATCAAATTGAATTTTTTTGGTAGTTTTGTTGAAGATTACATATGGGTTCTGTTTGTCTTTAGATGGTTTTTCTTGTGCCTCCTTTTCTTTTTACTTGTTTTGTGAAGAGCGTCCTAAACTCCATTGCCACCATTAACGCTTCGAAAAAAATAAATACAACAACGAAGAAGAAGAAGTTTGGGTGCATAGATGATTCATATCAAAATCCACTCCAAAATTCATATTCCCCTCCAAGATTGGATTTGATCTGTCCATTTTGATTTACCTCAGTACCAAGAGTTTTGATCGCAAAATTGTTTGCTCCTAAAATTGATCACAAAGTAAAAAAAACACTATTCGGAAAATTTTCAAGTTTTCCCTCTATTTTGGATGAAGTTTTTGTAGGGCCTAGGCTTTATAAAAACAAAATAAAACTAAAAAAATGGATGAAGTTTTTATAGGGCCTAGGCTTTATGAAAACAAAATAAAACTAAAAAAATGGTACAGATCTCCATGAATACTTATATTTAGGATGAAATGGATGGTCTAGATAATTTATTGCAATATAGACTATTTTGAAAGCTTGAAATCCTATTTTTTTTTTACAACCTAATGTTCAAGCTGAGATGATCGATTTAAAGGTTTTTCGACAATTAAAATAATGAGTCATGAGGTGAGGTTTACGTATTTCGACCCTATCACCCTATTTTTTATGGAACCCAAAATATGGCCTAGATCCCTGAAAACAATGCGAGGCCCTTTGATCCTTGGAAAGTATAGAATAATCAATGCTAACATAACACTACGATGTGCTCTCAATGGGCCTAATGGTGATGAAGGCCTATGAGGGTCCACCAAACCTGTTTAAGTCAAATGTACCTCCACTCTATCCTCATAAAAAAGTATATAACCCCCGGACCACACTGTCAAGCATTGCTGTACCCAGTACTTTTCACACTTTCTATGAATAGCTCCACCACTACTTTGTAAGTAACAAAACTAACCTCATTACTATTTCATTTTGGGCCAACTCCCAAAAAAAAAACTATGTTTTGGATAAAAATACCCCACATAAATAAACCTACAATTGGTGCACATTCCTTCACTCTCTTTCTCCCTTAAAGTTCCTCTCTCTAGCAACTTGAAATATAAGTTTTTGTATTCTCCCCAAAAATTTTAAAAAAATTTCTTTCTATTGAAATTTGAGATAGTTTTTTAGCCTAAAAATGTTTTGAGATAGTTTCTCCCAAAAAAATTATCATTAGGGATCTGGCAATCTTTAAGAGATGTCTATTTTTTCGTTCAGTTATCCCATTTTATTGTGGGGTGCCTACACATGAGGCTTGATGAAGGATCTCATTTTCTTTAAAAAAGTTAAAAAAAGTATGATTAACATTTTCTGTCTCGTTATCATATTGTAAAATTTTGATTCGAGTCCCATATTGAGTTCCAATCATCTTATAGAATTCCTAAAAAGTTGGGAAATGGTGTCCTCGATATGAGGGGACAGGTGCAGGTCCCCAATCATCAAAATGAATCAGATTAAAAGAAGTCGAGGAAATCCTACTTGAAGTCTTAAAGGCAAACGAGTTTGTTTAGCAAACCGACAAACATTCCAAATGCAAATGAGGAATAAGAACTCTCAGTACTGTATTTGAGGGATGACCAAAACCCCAATGCCACAACTGGCTTTCTGTTACCTTCTTATTATTAGAAACCAACGCCTTTGAATGGACATCCAATATATAAAGACCCCGTTCCAACCCACCGTCACTAATCATTCTCCCCATGGCCTGGTCCTGAAACAAGACATTGGTAGGAGAAAAAATAACATTGCAATTAAGATTTTATGTAATTTTGCTAACATACAGGGGGCTTGGATAGAAATCAGGTAAGTATAGAACATCAGTACTAGGATGATTATGAAAAAATATTATTTTTCCTCTTCCTTTAATATAAACCATCGACCCATTAGCAATAGTAACATGAGTATTTTTTTTAGAGGTATGATATTGAGTTAAAACTTGTTTAGATCCTGTCATATGGTCAGTGGCACCAGAATCAATAATCCAGGAAGATAAAGAATGAGAAAGTAAAGAGTTACTTAGCTCACTGCCGGAACTTTGGGAATTGGATGCAACATAAGCCTTACCAAATTTTGAAGGAGTTGAGCCAATTTCTCAAAGGTTTGTTGAATATTGTTCTCAACTTGATTAGTTATCTTCTTTTTTTCTTGGAATTGTATTTTCTTTCTGAATGCAATTTTCAACAATTTTCTTTTGAGTGTCATTCCTTTTTGTATTCAGTACAGTAAGGTTGATTTCCATTCCGCCCTTTGCTACGGGAAGAAGTATTCTTAGATGGTAAAGCTTTTCTAGACCCTTCAATATTTTCATATTTCAAGGCAGAGTGATCAGATATATCAGTTTTATTTTTAGCATCATTTGACATTGCAGCTCGCCATGTCTCTTCTCTAGAAAAATAGAACAAACAATGCTACAATCTAGTATGGTAGGTGTTAAGAGTGACTCCTGACACTTTCATACTCAGGACCCAAAGCCGAAAGCAAGGCAAAGGTCATTTCTTGGTCCTTACGAGTTTCAAGAGTGTTCATATCAGTTGTAGCAAGCATA